TTTACTGTACTTTTCTACTCGCTGGAAAATCTAACACGTTGGTGCAATTTTACCAGAAATTTACATCTTCAAATTAATCAAAATCCATTCAAATATGCTTCTGAAAATAAATACACTTCAAAACATCATTTACTATTCATTCTGGCCCGGCCTGTGGCAGCAGTAATCCGGCCTGCCTGAAGCCTGCTCGGCCCGAAGGCCTGCCCGCGCGTGCGGCCCAGCAGCAGCAGCAGCGCGTGGCGCTCACGGCGCCTCTCCCCCGCGCCCAGGCCGCAACCTGGGCCTGGGCCGGGATTCCTCTTGCCCGCCTGGGCTCTATTCGGCCCGAAACAATGTTGGCCGTCAATCAGGATCCGACGGTCGAGCTCCATTTTCGGGAGGCTAAAAACCCAACACCACACGCCCCCGAGGAAAACCCTAACCTCATTCTCTTCGGCCCTCTCTCTCTCTTCGCCTCACTCCACTCTCTCTCTCTTCGCGGCGCAGATGGAGCCAGCCACTGAGTGAGGAGTAGGCGAAACAATGGAGCAACGGCGCCGTCGCCGGCCCCCTCGCCGGTGTGCGCGCTCCCCAGCGGGTGAGCGCGCCGCCGTCGAGTGGCCTGGCCGCGGCGCCCCTTTGGTCGGAGCACGGCAAGGAGAGCCCACGGCCCGGCCCTCTTTTCCCCGCGCGCCGTTCTGCACAACGGCGAGGTAGTCCCTCTGAGTTTCCCTCTTCCCCTTTTCCCCTTCTGTATTTCTCCTTTTCTACTCGGATCTCATCCGATTTGGGGACGGGGATTGGAATTAGGGTTAGGGTGGGTTAGGGCCGAATCGATTCACTGTTCTTCTTCCCCATGAGTTTTCACGGATTTAGGGAAAAACCTAGTCTGTATGCTCAGATCCGAAAGGATCTAATCCATCTCTTCCCGCGCATCAGCAAACCGGCAGCGGGTGCTCCATCCCGCGTGAGGCGGTGATGACGGCGGTGGGGAAAACTTCCCCAGACCATCCAATATCTTTAGGGTTTCATTTTCTCCGAACCGAAGTTCGTTTCTATTTCTTTTCCTTCTTCTTTTCTTTGCCCCGATCTGGATCCACATACTAGAGAACCGGCTCTGATACCATTGTTAATCACTTTGGATCGTCTAGGTGTGGATCCAGTGGGTTAGTTCTTTCCTGTTGAATCATGAGTTTGCTTCGGGGTAGGAGACAGAGAGAGAGAGAGATGTAGGAGCATCTGACCGTCGGAGGAGCTCCCTGCCTTCACTGGTTCGTCGATGAAGATCTGCGCTAGGCAGCGACGTTTGGTGTAGGTATGAAGACCGGCGGTGGTGGTGGAGGCAGTGGTGCTTCTCGCCGCTGGCAGTGCCACCCTCTAGATCGGATTAGGGTTAGGACAGTGGGCTGTGGTGGCGGCGAACCTCGTACCGTGTGCCGTTTGCCCCACCTCCTCTTTATAGGCACTGTGCGACGGGGGCCCACTAGCCACGAGATGGCTGGACGTCCCTGATCAGGACGCGGTCAAGGGGTCCGTCTCGACCGTTGGGTCAAGACGGATGAGATCAATTCTAACAAAATGGACATAGCATGGGCTAGAGTGCAATGTGGCCTCTACTATGCTGCGGAGTGCGGACCGAGTGCATGCTCCAATGGACGGCCGAGGATGAGTTTATGTATGTATTTTGGGGTTTATTACCAAGGGAAACTGGGAGTATATGACATTGTTGTGACATCATGGTGATGTCATCATGCTAGCAGCAGAGCGGAACTCGCGGCGGCCGTGGCTGTGCCGCGCTCCGCCGGCCCGGCGCCATGCGCCCGGCGTGCGGGGTGGTTTGCTTGTATGTATCGCACCAACGCTGCTGAGGGGAGAGATTAACTGGAGAAGAGCGACAGGGTGGTTGACGGGAGGCATCCAGTTGCTTGCTGCTCTGTTATCTTTCAGTGCTTGGAACTTGCAATTGCAAGGCGGAGAGGGCATGGGCGCATGGCGCCATGGGTCAGCCCCCGCCGTCTTCGTTCTCCGAGGACGCAGGGTCACAGGAAGACGAGGGGGGAGCTTCCTCGCTGCGCGCGAGGCTCGTGGACGTTGAGAGAGCTCGCCGACTCGCTGCGGCTTGTGAGGCGTGGGCGTGGGAGGCGTGCCGATAGCCCGATACACAAACACAGCGTGGCCAAGGCTCTAGAAAGACCCGATGCAGCGCTCGCTTTTTGACAGCCCGATCGAAATCCGACGGTTGGAGAAACGAGGCGACGTGGCCCAATGAGTGGCCAGAGCTTTCGTCTTATCGAGATGCCCTTGTCGCAATTCACTTGCTGCAGTATCAAGGCTGCCACTACTTGCTGCAGTGTCACTACTTATTTGATCTCTCAGGCTATTGCTAGTTTCCCTCTCTAACTAACAATGGCCTGGAATGACTTGAGTTCCGGAGTCAAGGGAATCGTGATCACGACTTTAGTGATGTTGGGGGTCTGTGAAGCCATCCTTAATGTTTTTTACTTGTTTAACCAGGCTTGTAGTAAATATATGGATATACAAGTAGTTGCGGGGGCTTGAAGACAAATATAGAAAGGGCGACCAAGAAATTATACATGGTTTAGGGTGGCCATTATAAAGGAAAAAGTCTACAAAAATCCTCTCACCTTTGACACTGTGGCTACTCCACCTCTGAACTTTGAAATCGTCTAATGAGCACCTTAAAGTTTTTCAAATCATTTAATTAATCCCTTGAGTGGTTTTGGAAGCCGGTTTTGCCTGTGTGGCACTCCAACGTGGAAAGACAAGACAGGGTGGCGGCGGGCCCCTGATGTCTGTTCCCTTCCCCCCAAATACGGATGCCTTGGCCTGGCGGCGGCCTCCTGGCTCGCGCGAGTGCTCGCGGCGCAAGAGCGGCGGCAGCGCGAGACTGTGCCGGTGAAAGAGCAGCGGGCGGGCGAGCTTGAGCCGCGGCGATGGCGGCGAGGCGCGGGCAACAAAGGGCCGGGGAAGGACGGGGCGCTCAACTAGATTCATGAGCGGCGGCGACAAGAGGCCGGCAGAGATGCCACCGGCCACAACTGCTCCGGCTCCGCCGCCAGGTCCTCCGCCGGCTCCAGCAGCGGCACCAATCCGGACGCGGCTCCTCTCCTCCATCGCGTAGGTAGCGCTCACGGCCGCGCTCGTCTGCGGCGCTGGCGGCCCCGCTGCCGTCGTCGTTCCGGACGCCGCTCATGCCGTCCCGTTCGTCCGTCCTCCTCCGCTGCAGGGAAAGCCCTTCGCCTCGTCCACTCCTTACGGCTTACGCGCAGTCTCAGAAGCTACAGCTTGGCCTTGACAAGCTCGGGTTAGTTTATTGCCTGATGCATGGCCAGTGCATGTTCGATTGCTGTATAACATATGTACTACCTTAGGTACTACATTTGTTTGAGGTACAGCATCTTATAAGCTATCTCTTCTAGGTTTTGGCTCTTCTTTTTTTCTTTTCTCAAACACTCGGGAGACCATCTCCTCTGGCTCTGGCTATGGGCTGATGGTAATTTACAACCAATTACAAACACTAAGAAACAGAGAAAACAACAACGAACAGCTACCTGCACAGGCCAACACAACTATCTGATGAACAAGAGAAGAAAAGAAAGACTGAAAACTGAAAAGGCCGAAAGCCTAACACACAAACTATGCCAACGGGAAACACTGAGAAACAGAGAAAACAACAACGAACATCATTATATAATGAAGAAATAGGCATGTACACACCTTTAACTTTTCTTTGGCATCTGCAAGCTTTTCTTTGACATCTGCAAGCTCTTCATTGGCAGCTGCAAGCTTAGGGGGTGTTTGGTTCTTTAGTCGCTCCTAAAATTCATGTCACATCGAATGTTTAGATACTAATAAGGAGTATTAAATATAGATTAATTACAAAATCAATTACATAGATGGAGGCTAATTTGCGAGACGATTTTTTTAAGCCTAATCAATTTGTCATTAGCACATGTTACTGTAGCACTATGTTGTCAAATCATGGACTAATTAGGCTTAAAAGATTCGTCTCGCAAATTAGTCGTAAGTTGTGTAATTAGTTTCGTAATTAGTCTATATTTAATACTCCATTAGTCTATATTTAATACTCCATGCATATGTCCAAACATTCGATATGACAGAGATTTTAGGAGCGCCTAAAGAACCAAACAGGGTCTTAATTAGCGACGTCTGAACCTTATCTCTTTGGGATAAATATGTTCTCTATTTCATTGAAAACATGTTAGCCAGTTTCACTTATCTAGATAACGATCAAATTATCTAGACACATAATCATACCTGAAGGGCATATATTTTTTTTTTGCATGGCTGTCCAACTGAATGGCAACTGTTCCAGTCACTTCTTTTTCTTTGTATGTTCCAATAACAGCCAGCAAATGATCTACTTGAGCAGATCTAGTGTCTACATGTTGAAGCTTCATTCTAAGACCTTCAACTTCATTTTGCAAAGACTACAAGGACAACAGCATGATCAAGACATCAGGGTAGTTCTCCATAAACAAATTCAACAAAAAAGCGTGGCCAACGATGGTGGATTATAAGTTGAAACAGTATTTTTCTCTCACACCAAATTAGCCAGCAGTAAATAATCTGGGATCGTTTACGACGAAACAAACAGGCTGATTGTAAGCGCGTGTTTAGTTTGATGAATTTGGGCTACTGTAGCACTTTCGTTTTTATTTGGCAATTAGTGTTGGACTAATTAGGCTCAAAACGTTCGTCTGGTAATTTCCAACCAAACTGTGCAATTAGTTTTTTTTCGTCTATATTTAATGCTCCATGCACGTATCGCAAGATTCGATGTGATGAGTACTGTAACACTTTTTGGGAATTTGGAGTTGGAACTAAACACGCGGTAAACGTGCTAGGAGCTACTTTCAGAGGAATCATCGTCAGTACCATGGGCAGAAGCTTATCATTTTGTTGTTTAAATTAAAAATTAAACATCTCTGTTTTTACAGGTTGAAGCCTTTCATTTTCTTCCTACAAAGTACAGTTTGTTATCCAATTAACTGATGCTCAGTTGTTGAAAGGAAACATTGAATGGCAAGTGACTGGTCCATTTTTCCTGTAGTTTCAGTGGTCCAGAAACGCTGCTGATACGCTAACCAGCTAACAACACACGTGAGGGTACGGGATAGAGGGATGGAGCCACAGACTTTGTAGGCCATCTTGTTCTTCCGCTTCATCTTCTCGTTGAGGAGGGCGTCGTCCTCCCTGATGGCGAACAACATGGGCTCCCCCGCCGGTGGCGGCGGTGCGTCCGCGAGCGGCTGCCTCCCGGTCCCGGCGGCGGCGCGCTGGAGCTTCCCGGGCTGCGCGTCCGCCATCACCGGGCGCACCCCTCGCGCGGACACGTCGGCCGGATCTAGGTTTGAGGAGCGGCGGGGGTGCAGTGGAGCCGTGGAGGTGGGGAACAAGAAGCCAGGTGGTGATCGTCAAGTGTTGGCACTGCCGCCGAGGCTGACCTTGGTAGCCTAGCGCAGACTTGTTTTGGGTCCGCGAGACCCAACACTTGATCGGCCCACCGAGGCTGAACTTGTCAGCCCAGCTGCCCAGGTTACCCAAGACGCGAGCTCGTACTTCGGTACTTGGGCTGAACCTGGCCCATCCGCACGGGCCGCATGCCGCCGACGCGCACCGGCGCAGCGGCAGCTCCGCCTCACCGTCGCCCCACTGGAGAGCACAGGACCAGACCAGGGCACGTACGGCGGCGCACCTTGTAGCTGCACGCCTAACGTCCGACCAGGCACGCAGCAATGGTGTGGACGCAATTAATGAGCGATGTGGAGAGCGTGAGAGAGAGACATAGCTTAGGCCTTTTAAAATCTAGGAGTGTCACGTGAGAACGTTCTGATAGTAATAATAAAAAAATAATAAAACAAATTACAGCAACTGCTCCGGTGCATCTCCGCCACCCGCCGCGCGCCGTGGTCGGTGCCGCCCGGTGTAAACGACGTGGGAACGCGAGAGCGCGCGCACCGCCACAGCCCGGTGCCCGCACAGGGTAGGCGATCGCTGTTGGCGTGGGAACGAACGCATCCGCTGAGCGACGCGCGAGCGCTGGGATGCCCAGGTTCTGGGTGGGATGTCAATGAAGGCACGACATGGCACCGGGAGAACGACGGCGACGGCACGAGGTCCTTGTGGAACAGCAGTCTTCTACTACAATCCTATTGCTACATGGTAGCTAGGCGTGTCCCTGTCGGCCGTAGCGTACAGTACACAGTATGCTATGTAACGCACTTTATTTTGTGCATTGATTGACAAATTGTGCTCCTCGGTCCGTTTCCAACAGGAAAGGGAGCTAGGAGTTAGGATAGGGCCCGGATACGAGGCTTGGAGCACAAGGGAGTGATCATGCGATGCGATGAGAGTAGTCGTTGTTCGTTAACCCGTCCAGCGCCCACCGGTAGTGGTGGTAGTGCAGTAGTGGTCACTCACTCAATGACGCCACCGTGGACTTGCAGTCTCCGATCACTAGCAGGGCCGGCGATGACCGACCGGTGCGGACCACGGTGAAAAGTGAAAACAACTCGCACTCGGGGTCAGGCCAGATGACATGGCAGTATATATGACGAGAAATTAAGCATAATCTCACGGACATGCACTGGATAATCTCCTGCATCGGGCGGCTCGTTCATTGGTTCGGTCGGTCATTCGCTCATTCCTTCGTTCCGTCTGCACGCGTCACAGCCGTCGTCGTCATGGTCATCGTCGAGGACAAAACAAAGACTGCCGAGTCACCTTCTGGAACGCCTCCCTGGCTGGGCCCACCCTCACCCCACCCCCGGCACTGGCATCCCCGCCGTTCAAATGCCCCGGGCCCCACCCACCCCACCCGCGCCCCCTCCTTTGTATATAAACGCCGGCCTCTTCTTATCCCCCGCCGCCCGTCTCCTCACTCCTCAGCCCTCCTCCGCCTACCACCCTCGCCGCGCCCGCGCCACGCAAAAAGCGTCACGCCGTCTGTCACAAAAGCTCACGAGTTGCGTTGCGTCGCGGCCATGGAGGAGAGAATTCCCCAGCCAAGAGAGTCCCAAGGACCCACCGTCGCCGAACCGGCGCAGACGACCGGCACGCCCTGCGATGACGGCGACGCTCTAGCTCCCGTCGTCCAGCTGCTTTCGTCCTCGGGCGAGGAGTCGTCGGACGACGACGAGGGGGAGCTCGAGTTCGAGTTCCCGTTCGTCAGCAGAGAATCCCCCGCGGGCACGGCCGCCCCCGCCGACGAGCTCTTCGCCGACGGCCGGATCAGGACCTTCTACCCGGTGTTCGGCCGTGGCAGCGGCTGCACGGCGCTGCCGGCTGCTCCGGAGGTGCAGCCGCGGGTGAGGGGCCAGCTGGGGCAGTTGTTCCTGGAGGAGACCCGGGAGCGCAACTCCTCCACCAGCTCCACGGCGTCCACGTCGTCGTCGTCAGGGGCCGCCACGGACGACGACGGCCTGGAGGGCGTGGCGCCGGAGAGCTACTGCGTGTGGCGTCCTGGCTCATCCGCGTCGGCGTCGCCCTCCCCGCCGCCCAGGAAGAGCGGGTCGACGGGGTCCATGGCGCGGTGGCGCCGCATCAGCAGCCTCGTGGTGGGCCGCAGCCACAGCGACGGCAGGGAGAAGTTCCTCTTCCTCGCCGCCGCGCCGCCGCACGACGCGCTCAGGAGGCACAAGAAGCCTGCCGCTGCCCCGGCAGCCGGCGCCTACAGGAAGCCTCCTCCTCCGCCTGTGACGTACAGTACACTGCAGCCAGCCCAGCTATGCTAGTACTGTGCGCTGCTAACGACGCGCACCGAGCATAGCATATCCCGTGCCATAAAGCTTTGCCTTGGTGCATGCATTAGCATTAATCACGTGCGTGCGGGGAGACTTCGGTTCACACCCTGCCTGTGCCTGCACCACCGGGTTCACACTGGACCTAAGCTGAGCTACCTGCTTGTTCATCTGGATTCTGGCCAAGCAAACGTTGCTTCTAATTTTTCAAATAAAAACAAAAGAAATTGCTTATAATTCTTCAAATACAAAGAAAAGAAAACATTGCTTTGCAACTCGCGGCCAAGCAGGCATATGAGACAGGTGCAGGACTGTTGGTTCAGGCTTTTCCATGTATGAAAATACACTTCTGTGCATTTGAACGACAGACAAGTACAGGCTGTATCGGCAAACGAAAGAGAGTGAGACAAAGTTTTGTACATGCTCATTCGATTCCAGAAACTAAAAAGTTTATCCAGTGACAGATACATTTATTGTAAACTCAAAAAGCTCAGAGGGCATCGGAATTCAGAGCAGTGTTGTGGTAATGAGACTGAAGCCTCTTTAGCCAGGCCGAGACGACCTTTTCTTTTCTATCACGTTTGATCACATCGTCATTTGTTTTCGCGGTTACCCTCCAGCGAAGCAGCAGCGTCAATTGGAATCACAGGAGATTCAGAACCAGCAGCTACTTCTGCTCGCAGCAATGAGCCCCCCTGGTTGGAGCCATCGACCGACTCTGCAGCCCTGTTGGTGCCATCGTGCTGAACTTTTGATATCAACACGTCGGGTTCCCTTTGTGGTGATTTCAAATCCCAGACCAAACTTCCTTGACCTTGCTTTTCCCATGGCTGTTTCACCAGGAAACTAAATGTGAGCTAACTAAAAAGGGGGGGGCAGACCAGTCGCGGAGGCTCCCACATGAGTGTGGGGTGCGAGGAAAAACCAAGGCAAGCCTTCCCCTCAAAATCTGCAGAAAGGCCCACGGCTGGTGACTCGATGAGACAGCTTTCACCACCTGCACCAGGCCTGCCCTTCTAAATGTGAGCTAACTGATGTTAAAAAAGTCAAACTGGTATCAAGAGATAATCTGAATCAAGCAACACATATGCTACTTCCCCAGCAATCATGATTCATGACTATGCAAGAAACAAATCTATGTTAAGAAAGGTGTGGTTAGGCAGTCAGTTTTCGAGCACAATTGCACAAACCTTTGGTTTCGGTGCCATACGAGGTTCTGAGATTGGTTGATCAGAATTTGGAGGGTCATCATTAATATCCTATATCACAACAGAAATAAAAGGGTTTATGAACAACAAAACCACTGAGTTACAGAGTTAACATGTAACAGCACTATAGGAAGATAACTACAAATCAAGACATACCTGGATATCATCTGGCCGCTCACCCCTTTGTATCATTTCCATGATCTGCCAGGTCAAATACATTCAAAAGACGTTTTTTGCTTCAATATGAACTTGAAATCATATATACGCAAAAACTTCTTGTATTTGGAAGACAAAATCACATATACCAAAATTTCAGACCTTGTATTGTTTAATATACTCCTGGTAGCTTAACAAGGGGGGCAATGCATGATAAGATGAAGTGGATAGCAGAATTCTCATGATGCAACAGCTAACTGAAACAAGCATGCCTGAATATCCATCAGCGCATATGAGTGAACTTCTCACCCACCATCCCATGTCCTAGTGTATGATGCATCACTAGAAGAAGGAAGCAACCCCACATTGATGCATGTTCAAAGAGGATTGATATTACAACTGGCTAGATCTAACAATGAAACTTCATTTTTTAATCTATTAGTCCATCATTAATATCTAAGTCCAGTTTAAGTTAATCTTTGAGAACCAACATCATGCTAAACAGGACAACTAAAATCCCACCTGCAATGGACAGTTATACTTTCTGAAGTTAATTTAATTACATTGAGATGAAGCGGTATACTAAGAATGAACACTTCACAGACATCTTCAGATATCACGTATGCAGTAGTCTGCAGCAGTGTAAGGATTAAACTTGCAGCCATTTTACTCCCGTTTTAGATAGGTAACTGACCTCCATATATGATTTTGGATGATGAGGTACCACAGGGGCCACAGGTTCAGCTTCAGGTTCCACCCTCTCTATAAAAGAAGTACTCCCTCTGTTTCAAATTGTAAGTCTTTTTGGCTTTTGAGCTATGCGCCTATAGGAAAGCCAAAATGACTTACAATTTGGGATAGAGGGAGTAGGAACGTTAGAACAAAAGGAATCAGGGAAAATAGTTAAGACTTACCTTAAATGGGACGCATTGGCAAACCTGAATCATCCATACACTTTTTGTCAACTTTACTCTCCTGTTGCAGTGAAGAAAATGGCGGTAGCTTAAAATTTGCAGCATAAACACCAGTCATGCCTGGCCAATACTATTATTTGTAGTTTGTGCTGACCTCAGTAATCCTGCATTGATGATCAAACACCCCTGACAAAATGCAGGCAACAGATAAGGCAATGAAGTTAATAAGTTAGATTTGTCATGATGAAGCCATTTAGGTCTAAAACTCTGAATGGGGAATTTCATATGGAATCACCATTGTTTACAGAGGAAAACACACATAAACAATGAAACATCATTATATGATCCACGATCATAAAGAACTAAAATATCATGTAAAAAGCTAACTTAGTAAATGGACTCTCTCTGCCATACCTTGAGATGTGCACATATTTGAGCTCGCAGAATTCGATGATGGGCTCTTTAATCCCCACACACACACACAAAAAAAAAAGAGTTAAAAAGGTAAAAGAAATCAGAATAACCAGGGAAGGAAATCAGCTCAAGCAGAAACTAAGCAAACAAATCTTACTTGTAAACGTCGAAACGCTTCATCTATTTCATCCACAGTGAGTCCTTTATTTTCAAGGAAAGACCGCCTCTGTCCATCCGAAGAGGCTACTACTTTCGGGTGTTTCAGAAAACTAACAGCACTCTGAACCAGATCCTCCCTCAGCAGTTCAGTGGAAACAAGAGCCGCCTTCCCCTTTCTTATTTCCTGCTCCTTTGTGTCTTGTAAACCATGACTACCTTCAGAGCTTCCTTGGCCTGTATGCAGTCCAGCAAACAGTTTGACTTCCATATAAACCATAACGAAACAGGCATCACACTATATAAACAGGAACAGAGGAAATGTGCTCCATGCTTGATACCCCACTGGTGTATTCAACTATTCATAAAGGCTGCAATATTACTCCCCCACCTCCCCTTTTAAGCATATGGGCTCAATAAGGCTATAATTTAACGATACTACTGAAGTTGAACATAAAATTCACAAAAGGCACGATGGAGATCCACACAAACAGTACTCACTCAACCGGACAGGTTAGCTGATCTGGAGGACTTAAGCCTCGTCGGTACAGGCCTTCAAAATTGGAAGTGAATACATCTCTGGGATGTGATGTAGTACATATCAGCAAACAGTATAAACGGACGAAGTTGGATCAGGTGAATTTTGGACAATAGGAACCACTAACCCTTCGTGCAGGCTAGGCGATGGAACCCTAGCTATAGCATCACAAGCAACTAGCATACACAAGCTGAAGAGGACAGGGGGAGAAACCCTTGCCAAATCGAACCTGGTTCCTGCTGCCTCGCTTCTTCGGCTACCAATCCATCCGAAGACGTCGATAATTCCGCCATCACTGCCCTCTGTGGACCTCCAACAGTCCTGCTCCGGGCGGCAAAGCTGCGTGTGGGGATAAGACGCCGGAGGACGAAAGGAAGACGAACGCCCTGCTCAATTAGCGGTCAGGGCCCAGGCAAGTCATCTAGCCAAATGGGCCGTGTTGGCCTTTTTGTTCTAAAATAATGCTGGGCTATTTTGTACGGGCCTTCAGATTGTATGGGCTATACGATCTTACTGTTTTGGTTCAGGCCCAGTTCCGTGATTAACCTTTTTTTTTTTCCTTTCTGAGGGCCAGACCGTGATTAGCTTGCACTTGCAGCTTTTGGCAATGAGAACCTCCATAAACCATCCTAGTCTCGGGGATCAGAAATCCACGAGTCCGAACACGGAACACAGGCCCGGACGACAAGGGAAGAGGCCGCAGCTCCACCGTCGCGTGCGCAAGCCGAGGCCGAGATGTGGAGAGCGACTGCGCCACCGCGGCGGAAGGAGACGACGCCGCCGCCGAAGGAGCGGAAGCGGATGGTGCTTGTGCCGCCGCTCTTCGACTATCCTCCCATCGCCGCGCGCACAAGGTCGACCGCGCAACGCTCTTAGCTTATACTCTGCTATGTTAGATTATACTCTGCAAGCTACTGTGCTTGATCAACAATGTTAGATTATACTCTGCTAGCTACTATGCTTGATCAATTCACAGTGTCCAAGGAATCGCATTTCATCATTCACTCGTAGATTGTGGAAACCAAGACGTGAAGTGTAGGATATCCAACAATGGTTTATTGTGGCTGAAGAGTTGAACTTTTAGATTTTGGCACTGTGGCACATCTATGTGAATCGCAGACGAAGTCTCCTTTTCTCACGAGATTTGAGACCCTCTCTATGTGTCCTAGGACTAGTTGTAGTTAGTTCTCTTGGTAGGATTTGATAGCTCTGCAAGTAATGTGCAACTGAAGTGTTGTGGGTTTGTAAATGTGCAGGATGTCAGTGCCGGCATACAAAGTAATGTTTGGAAAGCTCTCGCTGCAAAGCCTGTTCGACGACTACTTCGATCAAGCTGGGAATATGACATCATGGATCATGCTGAAGGCATTAGAAGAACCAAATATTGATTTGATTGCTACTGTATCCTTTCAGACAAGGGTTCTGTTTTTGTTACTAAGGCTTTCTTTTTTCCCTCAATTGCGTGGTTCCTTCCTGTCAATGTTTAATGTTCAGTGGATCACCAACTGATCCTTATCCTTATTATTGTTGTTTGTGTATCTATCGTCTCCTACCCCTTTTCAAGCACCTTTCTTTCAAGTAATTATAATTTCACTTCCTGTACTTTTGTATTATGGTCACAGTAGCTAAAATTTGACTACTAGGAGGATTTATTCCAATCCTATTTATATCTTCTAATGGTTAACTTCAAAAAGACCGTTTGCAAACCTTAATTTCACTAGGCCTCTGCCCCAGCTGACAAAAAATGTGGAACGGAAGTAAAGGGGGATGCTCTATTCCGCTGGCAAAAGTGTGTATTCCTTATTTTCTAGTATTCTATATATATGCAACTTTTGTTATACTCTAACACAAAAACTTTTCTCTGGAACCCTTTTTAGAGAACCAGACAATCCCCATACCTTTGTGGACCTTCTTGTGTCCACTTCAACGTATGTTTTTTCTTGCTTGTGCTATATCATTTCTCAGCATACATATTTTCTATTATGGAAATCGTATCCACAATGCTGTTTTGGCCGATCTCCTTATTATGCAGTACGTGGCAGCTGCGGTCATCTGCGTACTATCCTCAGTATGGTATTGGCGCATTTGGAACATTACCTTTACCAATGGGAAACAGGTAGACTTATATTTGTTTACATATGCAAATCATGCGTGGAACAAATTAGTTTGTATGCGTATCTTTTTGTTGAAGACTTCTTTCTCCAAATACGATGTAAGATATTACTTTTTGTCTCTTCCTGTGAATTTTACAAATAATCAGACTGATGGAGTTATGTTCATCTTTTTTGCAGGGTGTGTTCAGAAGATTCTGGGGTTGTGGGCTTAAGATATGGTTCAGAGAATTTATCACTTGGGGCATCTTTTGTGCCATTTCCTTGTATGCATCTGTTTATACATTTATCATGCATTTTATTCGAATTGTGATTAAATACGATATTAACCAAGTATATGCTCTCTGTAATTATAAGCCGATTTAATGGGGTTTACTTTATTTCGCAATTATATCTCATATTCAGTATTAGCTTGTCATGCTGATGCTACTTTTGCAGTATCCGGGGAAGTGCCCTCTGGAGCATGGTTGGTTGGGAGAAATGGGAACTTGAGTGCAGGAGTTCAATACAAGCCACTTGGTGAGTGTTAACTTGTCACAATAGTTGTGTTCTCAGTCCCCTTGAATTTTGAGGTTATTATACATGGAGCGTCTGAGCTCTTTTTTTTTCTAAAATAAAATAAAAATATATGTGCACTACAGCTATATCATTCTTCTGAGTTTCTTACTATTGTACGAATCGTTATGTTAACTACAAAACTTCCTCAATGCAAAGTAGTTAACCAGCTGTAAAGAGCTGAGGGCCAAATTAGAGTAATGTAAGATGGAATAAAACTCTCAGGCACGTTCTCGAGAAAAAAAAAGATTGAATAAAACGAATTGGCCATGAGTTGTGACTCAATATTATCCTCATGCTGGAGCATTCTTGAGTCCATTGTTAATGTAGGAACATCAAAAAAAAGTTCCTGAAATTCCACTAGAAAAGTTCCTGAGCAAATGGATGCAGAGTTATCAGCCATTTACTAAGCTAATGAAGATTAATAGAAGATTGAATGAAAACAATCTGTAGAGCTTGAGTTTGAAGTTTTTTTCTCGAACTACGCAGGAGAGTTGTGTGTTATTTCATTAAGAAGAAAAAAAAAATAGATACAAAAGGGAGGGAAGTAAGAAACCCCCTCCCAGGCACCCAACGGTTTTTAACCAAAACGGCACTCTAAAAAATAAACAAGGAAAACACGACCCACAACCTACAAACAACTAAGGACCTAGGGATCTAGGACCAGTGACCTAGCAAGGAACTCTTGTAATGCTGAGGCTCCCGCCATACACCACAGATTACCCTCTATGCTAGGCCTAGCACCTTCAAAAAAACAAGCATTTTCGATGCTTCCATAATTCCCAAAGGTGTTCCAAGGGGTTCGCGCATAGGCCTCAATAGTCTGATCCTCCTAGCTTCAAGATTTAGATGGTACACCATTTAAATTGAACTCAATTAGATTGTGGAGGTAGGAAGTTTGCGGTATGCCCAAACCTCCTAGGTTTAAGTCCTTGACAATACGAATCTGGGTGCTCATTTTCTTGTTAATGTAAATCCACCTAATCCTCCTATGTTGGTCTAGTTCATTTTTTGGTTATTAGAGAGTGGAAGTGGATGATTATAAAATTCCATGGTAATTTTACGTTTCATTTGAAGTAGAGAAATAAAATAGTTCTAGCACTAGTTGGTTAGCTTTAGCTATCTTGGGAAGCTTTTCGTATTTTCTTGTACCTGTTTTTTGAAGTTTTTCTATGTAGCTGGGTTTCTTTTCTATTAAAACTTCATTTTGACACTTTGCATTGCATATACATAATTTTTTAATCACTATGGCCCAATTTGTGGTTGATGTGCTGTGAACTCTCTAACTTATCTAGTAGGGATTTGCTTTTGTAGCTCCACAAAATTAGAGATGCTCTCAAATGATTACAACATAAAAACAAACGGAGCCGTAGGGACCATACATGTGTGTTGTGGGTGTTACTTCTTCCATTTAAAAATTTAGGATGCATTATAACTCAAAACAAGTCAAACATTGTAAACTTTGACCATCACTTATTAGTCAAAATATATGTATTTACAAGTCAACTTTGAGCCTCTGTTTTTGCTAATGTTCCATTTTGTCCAATATTTAATAGGTGGAAACAAACATCCTATGCCGTTTACAGATCCAAAGAATTGGAATGGTGCAATTAGTTACTGCATTGGTTCAACTAGCTCACTCAGCCCTTTATCCACTTTTACCCTTGAGCTTGCCAGAAGTAAATAGGTCTCGTCTAAATGCACATCGTTTTCAATCAAAATACTTCACCCAGTTTATTAGCTTGCAATTTCTAGGATCTTTTGACAAAGCTATAGAGTAGTTACTGCCTCAGATGGAATGATGGATGGTGCATGAATTAATATATGGATTACTATAATACTAGACACATTAAACAATGGCATGAAACAACAATTCTGATGCATATGTTTTCTTTTCTTTTGAGTAGAGAACAATGAATAGGCAAAACATTGGGAAGTAAAACATTTGCACAAGTTAAATAGTACATGACGGTGTTAGACAGAGTACATTTCTATATGTAATCAGTGTCGCCTTTGCACAATCTTTGAATCTAATTTGCAACTCTCCTATAACATTTTCTTTTCATTGGTCTACAGTTGACAATGTCATTCTATCAACACATGGTTGTTCAAAGAGGGGTAAGGGCAGTTCTCTTTCATTTTGTCTTTACAAAGTGTTACTTCTCTTTTCGCATCACAATGTAGCTACAGCTCAGGTTCAGGAAGAAAAGGTGGAAGTATCTATCTTTGAGACATGATATTAATTTAATCAGAGTTATAGGGTCATAGGGTCAATCTTTTTTTCATCAAACTTGTGGTGAGAGTTTATTTCATTCAAAAGGGCATGATGATCGCGGAAGCCAAGTACACGGCTTTTTGTACTGCATCTTTATTATGTTAGGTTTGATCAATATTTGTCAGTTATCGAGATTACTTTGAGTCATGTGATATGGAGGAAAATTTATGTGTTCATACAAAACACAACCTATCCTTTGGTGTTTGTCTAGTGTTGGCAACAGCCCAACAATAGGAATAACATAGCTTAGACAATATGCACTAGTAGGAACTAGGAAGTAGGATTGTAGGGACACTCTAATGAACTGTCATCCCCACCAGGTCGTGTGGACAACACGAAGCGAGTTTATATATTGAAGAAAATAACATCAGATATATCTGCTGGAACATTAATTTGATCTTACCACTTCTCAAAGTGAACCTGATGAAATACTTTGTTGGTGTTCTAAGCCATTGAAAATTGTTCCGTTTAAAAATATCTGTGCCACCAAGAAATTATCTGTGGCCCCATCAAACTCATTATTACATGGGACTAATATTTATTCATTTTTTCCTAGTTGTGTGCATTATCGGGTATGAACTCATTGTATTAGAGTCATGCCATCCAAGTTTTGAAATTTGAAATTTTTAATCGTACGCTGCTTGCGTACACCAGGTGAAAAATCCTAAAGAAGATAAAGATGTGGTTGAAATTACAAACTACATTGATTTTGGACTTGAGTTTACTGCAAGGTAAGCTTTAGATTGTGTGTTACTCTGCCTTACATAAATACAACTAGCTGACTCTGTTTCAGGATTGATAACGATAAACCGACTGAGAATGGCAATTCCTTGTTCAAGTTAGCTGCAAGTTTGCAAGCTAATAAGAACTTCCTATTGAAGGTTAAAATTCCATTTATCATTTACACCTTCATGTCTCGTCTTCAAACAGAACATGAAATACAATCCTACCTCACCAAATGCTCATTGATCTTACTTGCAGGGAAAGCTTGGTCCCTCCAATTCTTCTATAGTTCTGGCACTCAAATCATGGTGGAGATCATCATTTACATTCAGTCTCACAGGTATTCAAGCCTATGCATCCTTCATTTTTAGCATAGAAGAAAAAGTCATTTACATCTAGAACCACGAATAAATACTGCCTCAATAAAGGGGGCTCTTCTTAACTTCTTTATCAGTTTTGCTTTATGAATTTAGTCGTCTTCCTAGTTTGTACTGTCTATTAGTTTGCAGTGAGGACTTGAAGTTCCAGTCCTTAGTCATACAAAATTTTAATCAGGCAGCACTGAACCACTTTTACTAACATGAACTTCATTTACTCTTCCAGTAACGAAATAGCAGTTACTTATGCTTTTGCCCAATCTTATATATTTGTATTTTGGTATACTGCAGCTATGGTTTTGTTGCAGTTTTAGATTTGTACTTATTGATACTACAGTGAAGTAGAAAAAACACATATAACATAAAAGTAATTCTAACTGTGGGGTGGCTGCATTCACATCCTTTTCTGTTTGCAGCTGTGAAGGATCATTCAAAGGGTACAACATCATTTGGATTTGGCATTCGAACAGAAGATCTGAGACAACCCAGGTTCTGTATTTATCCCTGAAATTGTTTTATGTTTATTCCATTAGCAATGTTGTACTGATAAGACATTGAATATCAATGAAATGCAGTTACGAAAGAGCTGATCCAAACTACATTATGTTGACACCAACCATGGAACACTTGGCACAAGATACTGGGAAACGGCCCGTGTTCCAGGCAGTTATGATCATTTACCAACAGACTTGAGGCCAATTGACAGGATAATGTAACTCTAGGCTGCTTTTGCTCACGTGGCAGTTGGAGTAGCTTTTCTGCGAATTGATAGGTATATGCAAAGTCCTGTAAAATTCTAGCAATCTTGATTTTGTTCTAGGTTTTTTTTTTTTTTTTGGGGGGGTCTCCTTAAACCGCAAGATAATATTTAGTAGTAGTTCTAAATAATGTTGAAGATTTGCTGTGAAATGGAGCACATCTGGGCTCCACTACAAATTCTATAAACAGATCAAACCAATGAACTTGGTTCATTTGTCGTCTGATTTCCTCTCGTTGCTTCTGAGCTAACGTTGTGAACTTGTGACGATGTACGAATGCATCTGTATCATCGATTGCCTACTGATAGTGACTAACAATTACTGCATTCCAGTGCCCTGTTCGCTTGGCTGATAAGTCATGGCTAAAAGTACTGTTGATTGATTTGTCGTGAGAGAAAAATACTGCTCGTTGGCTGAAAAAGTACGGCCTATAAGCCAAGTGAACAGATCTTTGTTGTCCATGTCGGTGTGCGTCCCTAGTTGATGCAGGCGCTGAAAAATAGTTGTGAATGACTAGAGTGGGTGCTCCGCTAGAAATGTTACTGTCACACCACATTCCATATAATGGCCTATCTGGTTTGCATTGCGCTGATTGAGCAGAATGCCCACGGTTAGAAACTGCTTGGCATTAAGCTACTTCTAGCTCTAGTGCTCGTTCCTTGGTTGTAACTGTGTTTTAGAGTAAGCCTCATTCTGATGATCATGTAAGTGTGCACCTCACAGCCCACGACTGACAGCTCGGAACTTAACAGATTGATAATCAAATGTAGAAGTTTCACACATTGGGAGGACAAACATGCAGACAAATAGACGGCCAACTTAACAGACCCATGACAGGTATTAGTTCCAGATATTACAGACCCATAACAGACAAATGACGGCCAACTTAACATGCTTGGAAAAAAAAGTACATCCATAACCAGAATCTTAATCCCTCCCCAAGCAACCCAAATCAGACACTTAAACTGGTTTCCAGACCTTCGTGTGCAAGTTCCTTACCATACTTTTATCACCACATAATCCAAAAGACATTCATATGCAAGTTTCTTCCCATGTTTTTATTACTACGAAACATAATTCCTGATAAAGACTTAGTACAAGCACAGCAAACCGCACCTCCAAAACGCATGACATACTAGTACCAGCATCCTCATGCCTAAGCCTTCACCACGCCAAAGGGATCATCCAGTGATAAATCAATGGCAGCTTGGAAACTCCAGTGTAGGGTGGCAACACAAAGAACAATTTCACCGCTACCGCCAACAGCTGACTCTCTGAAGCCGCTTGCCTTCTCATCACTGCAAACAATGGCGATAGTCTTGAGTGCCTTGCCCTCCCTTACGACATACCTGATAAAACCAGCCCCATGACCTTCCACCAAGGACCCATGAAGCATAACAGTCTCCAGATGCGACTCGAGGCACTCACAAGGACCCCGGTGCTCCCAGAACCTCAAGTCATCTTCATGTATGCTGTCCGGTGTCTCGGATGTAGTGGGCATGATGTGAAGCGTCTCCAAGCGAGGAAAGCATTTCAGCAAAGTAGACATCATCTTGGCCTCCCTGTTGCATTCAAACTAAACCTTCACGGCCAGTATCTTCAAGCTTGGTACCATGTTGCTAGCACTCACTTTCATCCCAGCCTTGATGACAGTGCCACCGATCTCAAGCATGTGGAGGTCGAGGTCGAGGACCCCGAGCACCTCCAGCCTCGGAGCACGAACAATCTTGACGGGCCTCCTCTCAAGGATGCTCTGGAAGAGCAGCCGCTCGAGGCTTGGGGCGTCTTCAACGACGACCTCATCGAAGGACGACATCCACTCCACCGCGATCTTGAGGCTGTTGGAGGTTAGGTGGAGACGCGACGGCTCGTGGTATGACATGACGAGAGAGAGGACCTCCAGCTTGGGGCAGTGCGCGAGCAGGGACTCGAATTCTTCGTTGCGGACGATGCTGTGGAAGAGTCCGAGCTCGCGGAGGTCGGGGGACACAGGCGGGTGCGCGGATGTCGTCTTGGGGAATTTCCATACGCCGAGGTAGAGGCGGTCGAGGGAGGCGCAGCGGAGGATGTCGTCGGGGAGCGGCATGTCGAGCGGCCACGGGCGGTTGACGAGGATGAGGTCCCGGACGTCCTTGTCGGCGAGGTCCGCGACCAAGCGCCGGAGCGCGTACTCGTGCGCGTGGAAGGAGACGCGGGTGACGCGCGCGCCGCGGACCGGGCCCGGGTGCGCGGCCACGCAGCGCGCGAGCTCGCGCACGACGGGGACGTCGTTGGTCCCGCCAGCGCCGAGGAGGTGCGCGTCGTCGACGAGGAGCGGGGTCCCGGCCCACACGCGGCGCCAGTGCGTGGAGAGCGCGGCGGTACGGCCGGCGTCCTTGGTGGGGAGGCGGTGGATGATGTCGGCCAGGAGCGTGTCCGGGAGGCGGCTGATGCGGTCCTCGCCGTCGCCCGGCGCCGCCGCGAACGGGAGCGCGTCGTGGTCGTCGGACGCCCCGGAGTCGGAGGAGGTGAGCGAGAAGCGGTCGTCGTCGGAGTCGGACTCGACCTCGGGGGCCGAGACGTAGGTCGCGGGCAGGAGGGACACGAGGAAGGGGACGATGCAGTCGATGCGTTCCTGCGCGGACGGGCCCTCCATGGTGTTGAAGCCCCGCTCCACTTGCGCGTACGTGGTGTAGTCGCCTTCGTCGCTGTCGCTATCCATGGCTGCGGGCGGCGTGCGGCGGGCGGCGTGCGGCGAGGGTTAGAGTTTTGCCTTTCGAGAGACGGGAGCAGCGGAGAGCTCCCCACTCGTGTGTGAGTGACTGGGGGATTATTAGGACGAGAGCGCTCACTTGTAGGAAGCCTGATCAGCGAGCCGTTGGAGATCAATCGCTATCCCAAATCCCCTTGCTCAGTCGGCCGTACGATCGGGACTTAGCGGTGGGGATCTGCACAAGAGCGGCAGTTTACAACATTTTTACAGCGGAGCCCCTTGAACTAGCCTGTATTACCATTGCGCAATCTTTTAAGCCCCCGCCGCGGCGCCGCCGACCCGCTACCGGAACAATTGCATTGGTGTTCCTATCAAAAAAAAAAAAAAAATTGCATTGGTGTTTCGCCGCCGCCGCAAAAGAGGCGGCCGCTGTGGAGTTCAAGGGAGGAGGAGGCGCCGCAGAACTGCTGTAGATCGGTGAGCCGAGGGCGAGCGAGATGGGGATATTCTTCAGCAAGGCGGAGCCGCCGCCGCCGATGGTGTTGGTGCCGCCGCTCTTCGATTACCCTCCCATCGCCGCCCGCACCAGGTTCGTCGCTTCCTCTCTCCCCTCCGTTCCGAACCCTCTGCTTTGTGTTAAGGCAGGGAAGCCAATTGGTTGGTAGCCTCACTCTGCACAAATCTCGGCTGGTGATTCAGCCGTAGACCTACGCTCTGCATAACTGCTCCACTTAAACGGCTGAATGGTCGTGATTAATCATGCTTCCAGGCAATCGCGCTTGATTGCTCGCATGGTGTGAAATAGAACTGTGGATTGGTGAAATGCGTCAGATCGTTAACATCAGTTAGTTGTAGAGAGAATTCTTTGTGAGCCGTTAAAAAAGATCGCAATCCCCTACGAGCCACTGGAAAAGTTCAGCGGTCTTCAGCGCCGCTGTTCTAACTTTTTGTTTTGCCCTTCATGCCACTGCCGTCAGATTGGACTCTAACGGTGTCACTGCAGGTATGAAAAGTCGAAAATACCCTTAAGTCTAAATATGTCATTAATTTTTTTTAGCGTCTTAACGACTTCAAATAGAAAAACTCAAAACTAGAAAGTTGTAGATCTCGTCGAGATCTATAATTTTCATATAAAAATTATCTTCATTTAATTCCTCAAAAAAAGATATGATTTGATATGATTAATATATCTTAGAAAAATCATATCTTTTTTTGCGGAATTAAATGAAGATAATTTTTATATAAAAATTATAGATCTCGACGAGATCTACAACTTTCTAGTTTTGAGTTTTTCCATTTGAAGTCGTTAAGATGCTCAAAAAAATTAATGACATATTTAGACTTAAGGGTATTTTCGACTTTTCACACTTGCAGTTTGACACCGTTAGAGCCCAATCTGACGGCAGTGGCATGGAGGACAAAAAAAAGTTGGAGCAGTGGCGCTGAAGACCGCTGAATTTTTCCAGTGGCTCACAGGGGATTGCGATATTTTTTAATGGCTCACAAGGAATTCTCCCTTAGTTGTAAGGTTGTGCACTTGTGCGTCTCAATTTTGGTAGGTTGCTTTTATCCTTGGAGCACGCACATCTCTAGCAGATGCATTTTCCTATGCACCTTTACAGTTAAGGTTAGTTTTAGTCTTCCTGGAAGGATGAGACATTGCCGCATTGCACTTGGGGTTGCACTTATGTCAGCCTGGGCCCTTCATTGTGCTTTACTTAAAGCAGTGCTAGTCTTGAACATGCAGGATGGCGGTGCCAGCATATGAACTAATGTTTGGGAAGCTCTCGCTGCACAATCTGTTTGAGGACTATTTCGATCAAGCTGGGAATATGACCTCAAGGATCATGTTGAAGCCGCTGGAAGATCCTCACGTTGATTTGATTGCTACTGTATCCTGTCAAACATTACCTATCATTTCTGCTACTGTCTTCTCTTTCTTTACCCTTTCAATATCATGGTACCTGTCTGTTTAGGATGTAATTGGTGTTAAGTGCACCAACTGAACCCTATTGTCATTTTTTTTATTTGTTAATGCTGCTATCATTTTCTGTCCTTTTCATTTATCTTTGAAAGAAAGAATTTCAAAGAACTATCATTTCATATCTCTAGTTGTCATTAGCATGGCATCGTTATTAGAACATCTAGGACCTATTGGCATCTGTTCTGGAAAGGACACTCTGTTGATGTTCCCTGTGCTTGTGTTTCAACTATGATAATATAGTCTTGCCTGGATGTTGCATAGTGCCACAAACTGAGGTTTTCACATATATATTTGTTGATATTACAGACAACCTTGTGCCAGATTTTGAAATGGTGCCTTTAGTGCAATCGCATGTCCATAAAGCCACTGATTTGCTAGCAGTTTTGTAGAATGGTTATAGCTGCTGCAACTGGAATCTTAAGAGATTTCGTTCCAATTCATCCATATTTAAATATTTTATTACTTCACGAAAAGCTTTTGCCTACCTTAATGTCACTAGGTGTCTGCTGCTGCTGATAAAAATAGTGGAACAGAAGTAAAAGGGGATGCTCTATTTCGCTGGCAGAGGTGGATATTCATAGCTTCTAAATTCTTCATATTAGTCCCACCTTTGTTATACTAACAAAAACACTTCACTTTTTCTTAGAGAACTGGATGACCCCCATACCTTTGTGGACCTTCTTGTGTCAACTTCAAATCCGTATGCACTTTCTGGCTCGATGGACTATAATAATGTTAGTCAGCATTTTTATGTATTAAAAACACGTGAGTAACAATTTGCAAATCTCCTTTTCTTGCAGCTTGTTGCAGCTTAGGTCATGTGCCTATGATCCTAAGTATCGTTTTGGTGCCTTCGGAACACTACCTTTGCTAATGGGGAACAGGTAGGCCATATATCTTGTTTCTGTTTCCAAATAATGCAAAGTGTTGTTAGATAGCTTTCCAGAAGCTTTAATGTTGGTTGTTGAAGATTTTTTTTTCTGGTCCAGTGTTAATTATATTTTATTCTGTTAATATAATTAGAAATGATCACAATGAGGGAGCTATGTTTGTCTTTTTTGCAGGTTGCATTCAGAAGATTATGGGGTCGTGGGTGTAAGATATGGTTCAGAGAATTTATCTGTTGGGGCATCATTTGTGCCAATTCCTTGTATACATCTATCTACTGCTAAAACACCTCTTTTCTTTTCTATCTTTCTGTTGGTGGCTTGCTACCCCGACTTGCTCAGGATTAAGTGCCTTTGTTGTTGTTTATTGAATTTTGATTAAGGTTGATATAACAAGTAGATGCACCTCCATAGTTTTGAATCTATTTAATGTATTGGATTGTTCCTTAATAATATTCTTATGTGGTTATGTTCAGGTCTAACATGTCATGCTCATTCTTTTCTTTGCAGTATCTGGTGAGGTACCCTTGGGTGCATGGTTGGTTGGGAGAAAAGGGAGCTTAACTGCAGGAGTACAATACAAGCCACTTAGTGAGTGTTACCAGGCTAAATGGTCCAAAGTTCTATTCTTTAGATGGATATATGATAATATGACTCTTAAAACATCAATTCATTGTTTTGCATTTCTTTGTCTTATTCACCACTGAAGCTACTATACTTGCATGTTGTGGGTGTACTGTTGTTTGTAAGCTGTAGCTGTCTTTTGGCATTGAGCTGCAACAACCAAAATAACAAAGCCTTTTAGTCCAAAGCAAGTTGTCACTACTGCAACTGCAAAGATGTATCAGGCTTTGAAGTTCTCTACGATTACTATTTCTATTAGATCTTCCAATATTTACATAGGTTACCCTGACATGCTTGGGATTAAAAGGCTTTGTTGTCATCGTCGTTGCTAAGTTCCAATATTTTGTTGAATGTTTTCTGCCTTCCCTGCTAGCAGATAATACATGTGGATGTTTATTATTTTTATATGTTTTGAGCCTTCTGTTTTTGCTGCTAACCCTTATTCTCTATCCTGTCTATTCTGCAATAGGTGGCAGCAAACATCCTATGCCATTTACAGAACTGGAGAACTGGAATTGTGCAATCAGTTATGGTGTTGGCTCAACTAGCCCGCTCAGCCCTTCATTCATTTTCTCCCTGGAACTTGCCAGAAGTACACAGGTTTGCTTTATAATTGTACATATTTTTCAATAAGAAAGCTTCAGATAGCTTATTAGTTTGCAACTGCTATGATCTTTTAACAAGACTATAAACTATTTGCTGCCTCTGATGGAGTGAGGATTTTTTTGTGCATGGATTACAATATGTAATTTGCAAAGTAGCTATATACTCATGTTCGTGATTTATCTAAGAACATCATCGATGCATAAGAAAATGTAATGTTTCGCTTTTTATTGGCGTATTGTATGCGCTTTGAGTCTTAGTTTACACACAATAACGTATGAGCTTTAAAAGTTGCTGCTTGATCTCATTTGTAATTTTGTAGATTCATAGGTGTCAAAGAACTCAATTATAATCACATCGAAACATGCAATGAACAATGAGGTGGATGGATATGCTTTCTTTTATTCTTTTGTGTGGGGTTCAAATGGTCAACTGTTCTTTTAGAAACTTTTAGTTACTTATGGGCTAAACATCAGAAATTACAACACTGACATAAGTCAAGCAGTTGCCAATGATGCTGGCTAAAGAATTTCTTTATCTAAATAATACTGGCTACCTCGAATTGAATTTTTCCCCTTAACGTGCAGCTAACCACATCATTCTATCAGCACCTGGTTGTTCAAAGAAGGGTAAGGGCAGTTCTTTCATTTCATATTTGCAAATAGTCCTTGTCCTTTCTTATTAATTACAGTTGAGATTCAGGTTATATCTGCTGCTGTGTCATTAATTGAGGTCCACGTCCGCCACTATTAAACTGAAGCTGAACATGTCATTTGGGACGTTGTTCCATGCCATTGATTAATTGTATTTAAACCAATACATGTCATCAAAATAGTCTTTTATGGTCCTTCATATATTTTTTTTATTAGAGAGGACTATAGATTGACTTCCACTATTTTCCTTATTGTGCTCGTAGGAGGATTTTTTCCCCCTAATAAGGACTCATCTGTTTTACTTTTTTTTCTGGTTTAGATCATTTCAGTAGTAGAGTGCTGTCATATAAGTTTCGAATTGAAATTTCTGTGAGAGTATGCATGGCTTATGTTTACCAGGTAAAAATCCTTTTGAAGATGATCAAGTTGTTGGCATTACAAACTACATTGACTTTGGACTTGAGTTGGCTGCCAGGTAAGCCTTTAGTGAAGGAATATACTTTGTTCAAAATCAACCCAACTGGCTTACTACATTTTCAAACTGTGCAGAGTTGATAAAGATAAAGTGAGTGGGGATGGCAACTCCTTGTTTCAGTTGGCTGCAAGTTGGCAAGCTAACAAAAACTTTCTACTGAAGGTTAAATATATTTATTTATCTGTTAGGCCTGTATTTTAGAAAGGATGTGTGTTGCATTTCCACCTTGCACTGCACACATATCTCACCTTAACAATTTAAGAAAGTTTGTTTCGTCCAAAAAATGAAACACAGCATATAGACCAGTAATGTTTTCTGAATCTTCATATATGTAATTTATCATTTTATGAATTATGGCACTCCTTCACCCTTTTCTGGAATTTTGGAAGCCATTTAGGTGAAATAAATATGTGCTGCTTTAAAAGGTGGAATGGATTTGCACGCCCTCACTTCTAGACTGTCTCAGCACTTCTTCAATTGATGTACATTGCTCTTTGCTTATCAGGGAAAGCTTGGTCCTTCCAAGTCTTCTGTAGCTCTGGCATTCAAATCATGGTGGAGACCATCCTTTACTTTTAGTGTAACAGGTATCCAAGCAATCGAGCTTTTGTATTCTTTTATCTTTTTCTTAAAAGCAAGATCCAGTACATCCAGCAGCCTGTTCGGGAGGCCGTATCGTATCGTGGATTATTTACTGCTGACTGGTTTGGTGTGAGAGAAAAACACTGTTCCCGGCTGGAAATTTACGATCGTTTACGAGCAAGCGAACAGGCTGAGCTGCAGTAAAAGTGTCATTTTCAGTTTCTTTGATCCATTTTTCTGTATAAATTGGTAATTGCTGACCGCATGATATCTTTCTAGTATGTACTGTTTCTTACTCTGCACTTAGAATTTGAAGTTTCTTCCATAACTTCCCCAGCTGTAAAATAATTTTAATGTAAGCATGATGAGCAGCACAAACTTCATGGCGATATGTAGTCTGGAAATGTAACTTTACTCAGTTATTACTATATGGCATTTGGTTATGGTTTACAGCTGGGGAAGTTACTTTACAGTTTAGTTATTACTCCAAACAGGACATGACATAAGTATAATTTGGGAGAGCTGCAAGATATGACTTGTCGCTCTACTTTTGGTGATTTACTGGCTGGATTGACTCCCTGTTTCTGTTTACAGCTGTGAATGATCATTCAAAGGGCACAACATCATATGGATTTGGCCTTCGTGTCGAGGATCTTAGACGAGCCAGGTTCTGTTATTTATGCCCTGTGACTGAATCATTCTCTTTCATTCAACTACTATATTTAAAAAATGTTGTCCTTTGCTTGTGAACATTAACGAAATGCAGTTACCAACGAGCTGATCCAAACTATGTCATGCTGACACCAAGCAAGGAGCACTTGGCACCAGGTGTATTGCGCGAGTACGGGAAGCGGCCCATGTTCCAGACGCAGATTGATTCGGGCAACTACGATCGTTTGCCAACAGAGTTGAAGCCTCTTGGCAGGATATTCTAACCATAGGCTGGTTGTGGTCATGTTTCAATCTCTGGGAGCTTTTTTGGCAAGTACACTTGCAAAGCCACGTAAATCTTACCCGTCTTAGTCCTTGGACATGCTGCTGTGACCAGATGGAGTTCCACGCAACGAAAGGCGATCAACTTCTGACCACAGAGTGCGTTTCATTGACTGGTGAGCTGATTTCGTCATGGTAGCTGCGTGACTTTTGAAAGTCAGAACAATCCAACGCTTCTTGCATTATCATGTACTACTCCTACTCGGGTGGATAATGATATGATGCAGTACACGGCCGGTCTTGAATCCTTATCCATGTATGTGTATATATTATATCATCGAATCGTGGTCCAGTGGATGAATTATCACCTAGTCACCTGGATATATATTATTGTCCAACTTGTCGAAGATCACTTCTTCAACATGTCGAAGTTGAAACTCAAATCACCTGGATAATATTGTTCTCCTACACTACATATCTAAACTAAAGTACTAAACGCATCTACTCGTCTTCAAAGTTGTTGCATCTCTTCGATGCCAGGGACCATTGACGCCCACAGCAGAACGTGTCAGTGTTAATAAGATTCTAAAATGTTGAAAAAAAAGGATTGGTTGGGGGACGTAAGACAACTTGGCATGTGTATTCACTTTAAATCACATGTGTTGGAGTGGAATGGAATGGAATGGAATGCAATTCAGTTTAATTCCACCTCAATCCACTACAGTATATGTGGATTGAAATGAATACACGCCCTTAAGAATCTGTGATAGATTCACGACGGTCCATACATATAAGGCTATAAGACTTTTTGACTTAGGATTGGCTGGAGCTATCTGGTATAGCATCACTCTCAGGCGTTGGATTTTTCACGCCTAGAGTTGAGATGGATGCCTGGCCACGGCTGCCTGTCTCGGGGTCCCAACCAAACAAGCCACTGATGTTTGAAATCTATGCCTAAAAAATTATTATACCTCTAAACTTATATAATATTTTTTCTTTACAAATGTTCATCTTAAGGACATATTTGGATTACTTAGAGCTAGTAATTAACCGGGGCTAAAATTAATGTAAATTAGCTAAGATTGACCTGCTAATTAGCTAACAACTAATTGGAGGCTTGTTTAATAAGTTAGCTCACCTATTGACCTCCTGTTTAGATGGATCAACTAAGCCTACTATTAGATGGGGCTAAAACTAGTCAAAATTAGGTAAGATTGGCTAGCAAGTTAGCTAACAACTGGTTAGAGCTTAGCTTGCCTATTCTTTTGACGGACTAGGAAATTTTAGCTAAATTTGAGCTGATTAACAATTAGCCTTTAGTATCAAAACAGCATGCCAGCAGAAGTGAGGCAACCTGCAGCCGCACAGCCTGTTCGGGAGGCCGTATCGTATCGTGGATTATTTACTGCTGGCTGGTTTGGTGTGAGAGAAAAATACTGTTCCCGGCTGAAAATTTACGATCGTTTACGAGCAAGCGAACAGGCTGGCAGAAGTCAAGCAGATCACACAAGGCGCAGCATCGCACTCGCGCTGGCTGACTAGTTAACATCCACGCCTCGTCGCAAACCGCCCTAAACAACACAGTCCACTCTGCAAGGAGAATTGACCTTAGGCTCATTTATTTTGGATTTTGGTGTTTAATGACCAACACAACTAGATTGGATTAATAAATTTACAAGTAATTATTTTGTAGTTCAATAGGGTGCAAGACGTGACTTGGACGAAGGCGACATGATGATCCCACGATCAACATCATAAGCAAGACCCTAAAATCACAAGAGAAGACCCAAGATATCAAGCAAAGTCTAAGCACGAAGATATGAACCAAGCCGGACGCAAGATCACGAAGAAACAAGCTCGGCAGATGTGACCTGACGCGGCCCTTATAGGGACCGGACGCGTCCGATCAGTTGCTCGGCAACAGCAGGCGTCAGCAGCTGTGACCAGACGCTGAGCGAAGCAGTGACCGGACGCTGAGCAAAGCAGTGACCGGACGCACCGATGACACTGTTCATTGTCGTGACAGTAGCTCAGCACTGACCGGACGCTGGAGGGTGATCGACCAGACGCAGGAACTGCAGCGTCCGATCGAGTCCAGAGAGGTTTCAGAGTGGCGCCAGCACGATCGGACGCGTCCGATCGACAGTGACCGGACTCAGCCCTGCGTCCGATCAATGCGCGCGCTCCAACGGTCAGGACGACCGGACGCGTCCGATCAGGACGAAAGCAGCGTCCGGTCAGTAGCAGAAATATGGGTTTCATCCCCAACGGCTACTTTCTCAATGGGGCTTATAAATAGACTCCCCAACCGACCATTTGAGTAGAGTGGAGCTGAGAAAACATACCAAGGGTGTTGATACACTATTTTAGTGATCTTCACTTGTATAGTGCTTAGTGATTCATTAGATGATTAGCGTAGGTGCTTTGCGAAGTGCTTAGATTGATTAGACCACCGCTTATGCGCTTGCTCTAGGTTTAGGCCTAATATTTAGTGAGGTTTGCACACCTCTTATCACTTGGTGCTTGCGCGCACCATTGTTGTACATCGGAAGGGCTTGTAGTCTTGTGAGATCACACCAACCGCGTTTGTTGTGTGGCCGCCACCGTGTACCGAAGGGAACAAGGCCCGCGACGGTTTGGCCGGAAGCTTGATAGTGAAGACGGCGGGGAGCAGTCCAGGAGAGGCTTGCCAGAAGGCACACCGGAGACCTACTTACGCGTGGCGAAGGACTGGCGCTATCCTCGGAGTTACCCGACCAGGAGCTTGGCCCTCGCGAGGGATTCCTTGCGAGGGGCTCCAACGAGGACTAGGGGAAGCTTGCGCGCTTCTTGATATCTTGGTAAAAATACCGGAGTCGTCGACGGGAGTTTGCATATCTCTACCTTACTCTTTAGCTTCCGCATTTATATTGTTTGCATTACTCCTTTTACGGTAGAGATAGCAACACACTAGCTAAAACGTAGTTGCACATTTAGATAGTTTATCTTTTTGCATAGGTTTTGCTAAGGTTAGAAAAAGATGTCATAATTTAGAGTTAGAGTTTTAAGTTGTCTAATTCACCCCCCCTCTTAGGCGTCACGGTCCCCTTTCAATTGGTATCGGAGTGCCGGTTGGCTCGATTTGGACCTTTGGCTTCACCGCCGTTGAGTCAACGCTATTTAGAGTGGTTAGGATGGATACCTTTAGGCCTCCGCACTTTGACAGCACTAACTTCCCCTACTATAAAGTTAGAATAGCTTGTCACCTTGAAGCGGTAGATTTGGGTGTTTGGAGAGTCACTCGTGACGGGATGAAACCCATTAAGAATCCCGATAAACCCACAAAGAGTGAAGAAAAAGAAATTCATTTCAATGCTAGAGCTAAAAATTGCTTGTTTCAATCTTTTAGCATAGATGTGTTTAACCAAGTGTTCACCTTAAATACGGCACATGAAATTTGGTTAAAACTCCAAGAGTTCCATGACGGCACAACTAATATCTGTGATCAAAAACATTGTCTAACTAAATAAAATTATGATTCCTTCAAAATGAATGATGATGAGCTTGTTCGTGATATGTATTCTCGTTTGAATCTAATTATCAATGAGCTCCATTTAATAGGATTAACCAAGCTAGATGATGTGGACATCGTGAGGAAGATCATCTACATGCTACCACAAAAGAAATATGCAGGCATCATCACCATCCTTCACAACATGAAGGACTTGAGCACCATGACCCCGGCCATAGTCATTGGCAAGATAGTGGCATTTGAAATGTCACGCAAGATGGGTCAAGAAGAAGTCTCTTTATCAAGCAAAGGGAAAGCTCTCACATGTAGGGAGAAAAAGAAGATGAAGGGCAAGCAAGTTGAGACAAGTTCAAGCTCAAGCTCCTCAAGTGAAGATGAAGAAGAAGATGAGGATGATGACGACGAAGAATCAAGTGATGATGATCAATCTTCCTCCTCCACCTCCGATGAAGAATCAATAAAACTTATTAACAAGGTGGAGAAGATGATCCAAAGGCTCAATGTCAAGGGTGTGTCCATCCAAATTCAAGATTTTATATTCACCGATCAAAGAAATGAGTAAAGAAAGAAATGGTGTTATGGATATGACGAGAAAGGGCATTTTATGGAAGTTTGTCCAAACAAGCCCACACCTAAGATAAAGAAGAAGAAGGACAAAGCCCTCACATCAATAAGGTCATGGGATGATTCTTCAAGTGAAGAAGAAGACCATCACAAGAGGCGCGGGCACAAGCACTCATCATCAAGTACTTCACGTGTGTGCCTTATGACACAAAGTAACAAAAAGTCTATCCCTAGTGATAGTGACAATGATAGTGATAGTGATGATGAGCTACCATCTTATGATGAAATTGTGCAATAAAATCTTAACTTTGCTAAAGTTTGCACTAGTCAACAAAAAAACTTAAAAAATTAAAAGAAAAACTAGATAGCTCACAACAAGCTTATGCTACTTTGCTTAAACAATATGAAACTTTTGTCAATCTTAATATGGAGCTATCTACTAAAATTGAGCAATTTGAGACTAGTGCAAACATAAATAATTGCAGAATCAATGATGAGCAACTTGTAAAGAAAAATAAAAAATTAAAGAAAAAGTTAGCTAGCTCACAAGATGCTTATAAAAGTTTGCTTGCTAAAATGGAAACCATGTGCAAACATTGTGATGAACTAACTAATAAAGTTGCTAATCTTAAAGCCGTCGGTTCTACCCCCACCGAGGCACCTAAAAGGAAAGGTTCAATTTTTGATATGCCTAAAAAGGATGCCTCTACTTCTTGTAATGATTTATGTTTAGACTCACCCATGTGCAACCAAGTTTATGTTGAGAAAGTTGTTATAGAAACATGCACACAAGAGGTCGCAATGGAGAATGAGCAACTCAAGCTAGAAGTGGCTCGCCTCACCAAGGACTTGACTCAAGTGAAAGGCAAGACGGAGCAAGCTCAACTTTATTAAGATAACACCGTCAAGGAAGTGAAGAAGCTTGAT